CGAGATGGCGTCGCGCTTGCCCAGGCCCGTTCCCGTATCTGCCGCGATCCCGGCGCCAATGGTCCAACGCTGCTCCAGCCTGGGCTCTGCCTCGCCTCCCGCCTCAGTGCATTGGGCGCTTTCAGTTGGAGCCGCTAAAACAAGCTTCACAGGAACAACGGCAAGCCACCGAAACGTCGATCCGCTCATCGCCGTGGATTGAGTCCATGAGCCCACATGTAATATATATATATATATATAGACATACATGTACACAAGCGTGTGCATTTATCTACAGAACATACACATACATACACTACATGCATGCAGCCATACACACATACACATGCATACATACATACATACATACATACATACATACATACATGCATGCATGCATGCATGCATGCATACATGCCCACATACGTACACACATACATACAGATATACATACATGTACGCATACATGTATACATGCATACATACATACATACATGCATACATGCATACATGCATACATGCGTACATGCATACACACATACCTACATACATACATACATACATACATACATACATACATACATACACAAATGCATACATACATACCTATACACATACATGCATACATACATACATACCTACGTACATCTATACATACATACATACATGCATGCATGTCTGCATGCATGCATGCATACATACATGCACCCACACATATATACGTACATACATGCACACATACACACATACACACATACATACATACATACATACATACATGCATACATACATCCATACATACACACATACATACATACATGCATCCATACATACATACATACATACATACATGCATACATGCATACATGCATACATGCATACATGCATACATGCATACATGCATACATACATGCATGCATGCATGCATGCATACATACACGTATACAGGCACCAATGTCTAAACACATGTGTATTTATGCATACGTACATAAACACATCTATATGTACTTATATAGATATACAAGTGTGTATACAGTCCGCCCCACACTTCTGGGATTGCCAAGCGTGTGAGGCTGTTTCCCTCAATCAAACTCCTGGAGCCCTAAATCGTTCAGCTGCGGGGATGGGGAGGTCTGGGTTCATCTTGGAGGTGGGCTGGACCTTCTACGAAGCGAGCCCAAGCGGTCGAAGAGGACCCCAGATGCCCCAAGAGACCCCCCCAAAACGCACGAATGACCCCAGCAGGCACTAGCAGGCCCCAAGAGAAGGCTTCAGACAGCGAAGGTCGTCAACAGATGCTGTCTGTTCCGTCCCCGGCTTTACGACCCAAGATGGCCTCAGAGTCGCTCCAGAAGCCCCAAGACGGCCCACGAGCGGCCCAAGCTTCCCAAGACGGCCAAAGAGGGCCCCGAGGTGGCGGCCTGGAGCAACCTTCAGGCTTTGGACGGCACAAGCAGCGCATCTGAGGGCTGAGGGGAGTCTTACTCTTGTCGGAAGCACTGCTCCCCGTGGCCGAACATCTTCTGTGCCCCGGCCCGCCCCGCCCAACTGCCCCCCGCCTTGCTGTGTCACGTCGCCCGGACTTGTTGATGGCCTGCCATGTCGGACCATCATTATCGGGGGGAAGATGCACAGGGGGCTGAAGAAGCGCGCGCCCGTCCAACAACTGTTTAGCCCGTGGTTGCAGTTTGTTTTGTTTTTTTCCACGGCAAAAGTACGCAAACATCATTCAAAGTCCTGCCCCTCAGCATGGGTATCCAATAGCGCGACGAATAGGAACAACTCAATGGCAATCTAAGCGGCCGCATCTGTAACCGTGCATTTCGCCCAACCAAAGCCAGCAGGACATGGGGAAGAAGGACGAAGAGGAGGAGGGGGAGGACAAAGAAAAAGAAGGCGTTGGCTTGGCGTTGCGCATGCATCCTCCAATGGCCCACCCGACCATTTATATAATAAGGCCCGGCACAACGACAATCAAACATAAACAAGACAATACATGTCAACTAAGATCCCGCGCGAGGTATAATTGATATGAAAACGCCCAGAAATCTATCACGCAGAGGGGGGCAATAAAATGAGGGAAAAGGGGACAAACATGCGGGTATGACGGCTCCCGTTATCTCGGCCGATCTTCCAGGCGAACGGAAACCTCCAATTAAGCGAACGTTCCCTCTGCGGTCGAGACCGCCAGGGAAACGCTGCTGTATTGGCGCGCGCCCTTCTCCAGACTCAATACGTTCATGCACTGAGCTTCTGGCGTGCTCACGTCGGTGTGATCGTCTTCGCCAAGTAGACCTCCGACAACAGCCCCCGCTTGTCCTAAATGCTTGACGTACACGTTCAAATACGGCAAACCTCCGTCCGTATGCCCGCGAACGATCTTCAACTCGACCTTACCAAAAACAACCCACCCGGGAAAATCAACCTCGCTCTGCGACGCGCTGAAATGATACCCTCCGGCTTGACTTGCCTCTGCCCAAGACCCGGTCACGTTCACCGTGTCGAAGTACATATCCATGCACTTTCTACCCAATCGACGCGCATTGGCCTGCACGCGAAGCAATATTTTGTCATCGCGCTCTCCACGAGGGATGTTGATCAGAATATGGCTGCCTGGCGCCATCAGATCGAACCGCTCGCCATGCACATTCTGCATATGAGGATCGCCGACTGCCGAAGTCGTCAAGGGCGTTGGCGTCGGGGCGGGCGTAGGCGTCGCTGTCGGGGCGGGCGTAGGCGATGGAGTCGGCTCGGGCGTGAGCGCTGGCGTCGGGGCGGGCGTAGGCGTCGCTGTCGGGGCGGGCGTAGGCGATGGAGTCGGCTCGGGCGTGAGCGCTGGCGTCGGGGCGGGCGTCGTCGCAGACACCTCAAAACCCTCAATCGTTCCCCGCAAGACCCTCCCAGTTTTCCAGCATCCGATTTTTGCAGCCGTGAACTTGATCGAATAGGCGCCGTTGTGCGCCAAGGTCTCTGTCAAGACACCGTTCACATACAATTCCACTGTGCCTCCGCTCTTGGAGTACACCAAGCGTATGTCCACAGCCGTGTTCAGGGGAATGTCATAATTGTTGAAACGAAAATCACCATCACTTGAATAGTAAGTGTTGCCAAGGACAGCAAAATACAAAGACTGGCCGTTTGCGTCCGGCGCGTCAATCCCAATGTGGAGGTCCCCAGGGGTCCAAGAATTCGTGTGATACACTGAAGCAATACCAACGTTGGATGCGTCGCCGGTCATCGTCAAAGTGAAGGCCACAGTAACATCGTCGTACGTGCCCAGGTCAGACACTGCCACACAATTACCGGTAGTGTACGTTGCAGCCGGGTTTTGGAACTTGTTGGCGACGTCTTGGAGCCCGCCCAAACCCTTCGAGGCGTTGTGTTCGAGAACGAGGGCGCGGGTCGAGGGCGTGACCAGCAGCAAAAGGACAGAAACAGATGGTGCCTTCCAAACTGCCACCATCCGAACTGCGTCGCCTGGAAATGCTACGCAGAAAAGAATGCGTGTGGGTGTAACGTTTCACGATGTACGCGCGACGAGGGCGGACACCCCACTTGCCAAATGGCTTGAGCCCAAATGGCTACGGATTTAGCCCGTGGTTGCAGTTGAGAGGCCATTTAAGGCCCCGCTTGGGGCCACTCTCCAACAATCCTCGACCCTCCTCCCTTGATTGCCCCTCCCGCTGCCGAGCGCCCAAGCATCACGTCGCCAGGGATTTGCGTGGCCTGTCGTGTCTCCGACTGCCCCTGCCTTCGAAGTCGGAGACAGGCCCGTTGACACAACGGCAATCAGAACCGGTCCCGGGACCCTTCCTGGGGCCCATTCTGCTACGATTTCCGTGGCAAATAGTCGTGGCGACGAGAAGCCTGCAGGAGGCCCCAAAAAGGGAAAGAACGCCGGGGAGGCCGCCGTTGTCTGGACTGGCCCTACTCCGATGTTTGTCCCCAGCCGTAGTCCTGTTTGCCGCCGCTGGGAATATCAGTGGCTGGCCCTCTCCCTGGCCTATGCTTTTGCTTCCCAAGCCTTTCTTCCAAAGATGGCTTCAGGAGTCCCCGAGTGGGTCGAAGGCTGGCCCCAAGACCAAAAACCCTCCAAGACGAGCTAAGAAGCCCCAGAACGGTCCCGTGATGGCCCAGGAAGCTCTCCAGAAAGGCCAAGGAAGGCCCAAGAGGCAACCAAGATTGCTCCGACCAGCCGCCAGAGTGCGCCCAGAGTGCGCACATGCATACATGCATACATGCATACATGCATACATACATGCATGCATGCATGCATGCATACATACACGTATACAGGCACCAATGTCTAAGCACATGTGTATTTATACATACGTACATAAACACATCTATATGTACTTATATAGATATACATGTGTGTATACAGTCCGCCCCACACTTCTGGGATTGCCAAGCGTGTGAGGCTGTTTCCCTCAATCAAACTCCTGGAGCCCGAAATCGTTCAGCTGCGGGTGGGCTGGACCTTCTACGAAGCGAGCCCGAGCGGTCGAAGAGGACCCCAGATGCCCCAAGAGACCCCCCCAAAACGCACGAATGACCCCAGCAGGCACTAGCAGGCCCCAAGAGAAGGCTTCAGACAGCGAAGGTCGTCAACAGATGCTGTCTGTTCCGTCCCCGGCTTTACGACCCAAGATGGCCTCAGAGTCGCTTCAGAAGCCCCAAGACGGCCCACGAGCGGCCAAAGCTTCCCAAGACGGCCAAAGAGGGCCCCGAGGTGGCGGCCTGGAGCAACCTTCAGGCTTTAGACGGCACAAGCAGCGCATCTGAGGGCTGAGGGGAGTCTTACTCTTGTCGGAAGCACTGCTCCCCGTGGCCGAACATCTTCTGTGCCCCGGCCCGCCGCGCCCAACTGCCCCCCGCCTTGCTGTGTCGCGTCGCCCGGAATTGTTGATGGCCTGCCATGTCGGGCCATCATTATCGGGGGGAAGATGCACAGGGGGCTGAAGAAGCGCGCACCCGTCCAACAACTGTTTAGCCCGTGGTTGCAGTTTGTTTTGTTTTTTTCCACGGCAAAAACATGCAAACATCATTCAAAGTCCTGCCCCTCAGCATGGGTATCCAATAGCGCGACGAATAGGGCCAACTCAATGGCAATCTAAGCGGCCGAATCTGTAACCGTGCATTTCGCCCAACCAAAGCCAGCAGGACATGGGGAAGAAGGACGAAGAGGAGGAGGGGGAGGACAAAGAAAAAGAAGGCGTTGGCTTGGCGTTGCGCATGCATCCTCCAATGGCCCACCCGACCATTTATATAATAAGGCCCGGCACAACGACAATCAAACATAAACAAGACAATACATGTCAACTAAGATCCCGTGCGAGGTATAATTGATATGAAAACGCCCAGAAATCTATCACGCAGAGGGGGGCAATAAAATGAGGGAAAAGGGGACAAACATGCGGGTATGACGGCTCCCGTTATCTCGGCCGATCTTCCAGGCGAACGGAAACCTCCAATTAAGCGAACGTTCCCTCTGCGGTCGAGACCGCCAGGGAAACGCTGCTGTATTGGCGCGCGCCCTTCTCCAGACTCAATACGTTCATGCACTGAGCTTCTGGCGTGCTCACGTCGGTGTGATCGTCTTCGCCAAGTAGACCTCCGACAACAGCCCCCGCTTGTCCTAAATGCTTGACGTACACGTTCAAATACGGCAAACCTCCGTCCGTATGCCCGCGAACGATCTTCAACTCGACCTTACCAAAAACAACCCACCCGGGAAAATCAACCTCGCTCTGCGACGCGCTGAAATGATACCCTCCGGCTTGACTTGCCTCTGCCCAAGACCCGGTCACGTTCACCGTGTCGAAGTACATATCCATGCACTTTCTACCCAATCGACGCGCATTGGCCTGCACGCGAAGCAATATTTTGTCATCGCGCTCTCCACGAGGGATGTTGATCAGAATATGGCTGCCTGGCGCCATCAGATCGAACCGCTCGCCATGTACATTCTGCATATGAGGATCGCCGACTGCCGAAGTCGTCAAGGGCGTTGGCGTCGGGGCGGGCGTAGGCGTCGCTGTCGGGGCGGGCGTAGGCGATGGAGTCGGCTCGGGCGTGAGCGCTGGCGTCGGGGCGGGCGTAGGCGTCGGTGTCGGGGCGGGCGTAGGCGATGGAGTCGGCTCGGGCGTGAGCGCTGGCGTCGGGGCGGGCGTCGTCGCAGACACCTCAAAACCCTCAATCGTTCCCCGCAAGACCCTCCCAGTTTTCCAGCATCCGATTTTTGCAGCCGTGAACTTGATCGAATAGGCGCCGTTGTGCGCCAAGGTCTCTGTCAAGACACCGTTCACATACAATTCCACTGTGCCTCCGCTCTTGGAGTACACCAAGCGTATGTCCACAGCCGTGTTCAGGGGAATGTCATAATTGTTGAAACGAAAATCACCATCACTTGAATAGTAAGTGTTGCCATTGACAGCAAAATACAAAGACTGGCCGTTTGCGTCCGGCGCGTCAATCCCAATGTGGAGGTCCCCAGGGGTCCAAGAATTCGTGTGATACACTGAAGCAATACCAACGTTGGATGCGTCGCCGGTCATCGTCAAAGTGAAGGCCACAGTAACATCGTCGTACGTGCCCAGGTCAGACACTGCCACACAATTACCGGTAGTGTACGTTGCAGCCGGGTTTTGGAACTTGTTGGCGACGTCTTGGAGCCCGCCCAAACCCTTCGAGGCGTTGTGTTCGAGAACGAGGGCGCGGGTCGAGGGCGTGACCAGCAGCAAAAGGACAGAAGCATATGGTGCCTTCCAAACTGCCACCATCCGAACTGCGTCGCCTGGAAATGCTACGCAGAAGAGAATGCGTGTGGGTGTAACGTTTCACGATGTACGCGCGACGAGGGCGGACACCCCACTTGCCAAATGGCTTGAGCCCAAATGGCTACGGATTGAGCCCGTGGTTGCAGTTGAGAGGCCATTTAAGGCCCCGCTTGGGGCCACTCTCCAACAATCCTCGATCCTCCTCCCTTTATTGCCCCTCCCGCTGCCGAGCGCCCAAGCATCACGTCGCCAGGGATTTGCGTGGCCTGTCGTGTCTCCGACTGCCCCTGCCTTCGAAGTCGGAGACAGGCCCGTTGACACGACGGCAATCAAAACCGGTCCCAGGACCCTTCCTGGGGCCCATTCTGCTACGATTTCCGCGGCAAATAGTCGTGGCGACGAGAAGCCTGCAGGAGGCCCCCAAAAGGGAAAGAACGCCGGGGAGGCCGCCGTTGTCTGGACTGGCCCTACTCCGATGTTTGTCCCCAGCCGTAGTCCTGTTTGCCGCCGCTGGGAATATCAGTGGCTGGCCCTCTCCCTGGCCTATGCTTTTGCTTCCCAAGCCTTTCTTCCAAAGATGGCTTCAGGAGTCCCCGAGTGGGTCGAAGGCTGGCCCCAAGACCAAAAACCCTCCAAGACGGGCTAAGAAGCCCCAGAACGGTCCCGTGATGGCCCAGGAAGCTCTCCAGAAAGGCCAAGGAAGGCCCAAGAGGCAACCAAGATTGCTCCGACCAGCCGCCAGAGTGCGCCCAGAGTGCGCACATGCATACATGCATACATGCATACATGCATACATACATGCATGCATGCATGCATACATACACGTATACAGGCACCAATGTCTAAACACATGTGTATTTATACATACGTACATAAACACACCGATATGTACTTATATAGATATACATGTGTGTATACAGTCCGCCCCACACTTCTGGGATTGCCAAGCGTGTGAGGCTGTTTCCCTCAATCAAACTCCTGGAGCCCTAAATCGTTCAGCTGCGGGGATGGGGAGGTCTGGGTTCATCTTGGAGGTGGGCTGGACCTTCTACGAAGCGAGCCCAAGCGGTCGAAGAGGACCCCAGATGCCCCAAGAGACCCCCCCAAAACGCACGAATGACCCCAGCAGGCACTAGCAGGCCCCAAGAGAAGGCTTCAGACAGCGAAGGTCGTCAACAGATGCTGTCTGTTCCGTCCCCGGCTTTACGATCCAAGATGGCCTCAGAGTCGCTTCAGAAGCCCCAAGACGGCCCACGAGCGGCCCAAGCTTCCCAAGACGGCCAAAGAGGGCCCCGAGGTGGCGGCCTGGAGCAACCTTCAGGCTTTAGACGGCACAAGCAGCGCATCTGAGGGCTGAGGGGAGTCTTAACTCCTGTCGGAAGCACTGCTCCCCGTGGCCGAACATCTTCTGTGCCCCGGCCCGCCCCGCCCAACTGCCCCCCGCCTTGCTGTGTCACGTCGCCCGGAATTGTTGATGGCCTGCCATGTCGGGCCATCATTATCGGGGGGAAGATGCACAGGGGGCTGAAGAAGCGCGCACCCGTCCAACAACTGTTTAGCCCGTGGTTGCAGTTTTTTTTGTTTTTGTTCCACGGCAAAAGTACGCAAACATCATTCAAAGTCCTGCCCCTCAGCATGGGTATCCAATAGCGCGACGAATAGGAACAACTCAATGGCAATCTAAGCGGCCGCATCTGTAACCGTGCATTTCGCCCAACCAAAAAGCCAGCAGGACATGGGGAAGAAGGACGAAGAGGAGGAGGGGGAGGACAAAGAAAAAGAAGGCGTTGGCTTGGCGTTGCGCATGCATCCTCCAATGGCCCACCGACCATTTATATAATAAGGCCCGGCACAACGACAATCAAACATAAACAAGACAATACATGTCAACTAAGATCCCGTGCGAGGTATAATTGATATGAAAACGCCCAGAAATCTATGACGCAGAGGGGGGCAATAAAATGAGGGAAAAGGGGACAAACATGCGGGTATGACGGCTCCCGTTATCTCGGCCGATCTTCCAGGCGAACGGAAACCTCCAATTAAGCGAACGTTCCCTCTGCGGTCGAGACCGCCAGGGAAACGCTGCTGTATTGGCGCGCGCCCTTCTCCAGACTCAATACGTCCATGCACTGAGCTTCTGGCGTGCTCACGTCGGTGTGATCGTCTTCGCCAAGTAGACCTCCGACAACAGCCCCCGCTTGTCCTAAATGCTTGACGTACACGTTCAAATACGGCAAACCTCCGTCCGTATGCCCGCGAACGATCTTCAACTCGACCTTACCAAAAACAACCCACCCGGGAAAATCAACCTCGCTCTGCGACGCGCTGAAATGATACCCTCCGGCTTGACTTGCCTCTGCCCAAGACCCGGTCACGTTCACCGTGTCGAAGTACATATCCATGCACTTTCTACCCAATCGACGCGCATTGGCCTGCACGCGAAGCAATATTTTGTCATCGCGCTCTCCACGAGGGATGTTGATCAGAATATGGCTGCCTGGCGCCATCAGATCGAACCGCTCGCCATGTACATTCTGCATATGAGGATCGCCGACTGCCGAAGTCGTCAAGGGCGTTGGCGTCGGGGCGGGCGTAGGCGTCGCTGTCGGGGCGGGCGTAGGCGATGGAGTCGGCTCGGGCGTGAGCGCTGGCGTCGGGGCGGGCGTAGGCGTCGGTGTCGGGGCGGGCGTAGGCGATGGAGTCGGCTCGGGCGTGAGCGCTGGCGTCGGGGCGGGCGTCGTCGCAGACACCTCAAAACCCTCAATCGTTCCCCGCAAGACCCTCCCAGTTTTCCAGCATCCGATTTTTGCAGCCGTGAACTTGATCGAATAGGCGCCGTTGTGCGCCAAGGTCTCTGTCAAGACCCTCTCAGTTTTCCAGCATCCGATTTTCGCGGCCGTGAAGTTGATCGAATAGGCGCCGTTGTGCGCCAAGGTCTCTGTCAAGACACCGTTCACATACAATTCCACTGTGCCTCCGCTCTTGGAGTACACCAAGCGTATGTCCACAGCCGTGTTCAGGGGAATGTCATAATTGTTGAAACGAAAATCACATCACTGAATAGTAAGTGTTTGCCATTGACAGCCAAATACCAAAGGGACAAAGACTGGCCGTTTGCGTCCGGCGCGTCAATCCCATGTTGGAGGTCCCCGGGGTCCAAGAATTCGTGGTGATACACTGAAGCATAACCAACGTTGATGGTCGCCGGTCCCCAGCGTCAAAGTGAAGGCCACAGATAACATCTGTCGTACGTGCCCAGGTCAGACACTGCCACACATACCGGTAGTGTACGTTGGGCAGCCGGGTTTTGGAACTTGTTGGCGACGTCCTTGCGCCCGCCCCCCAACCCTTCGTGCGTTTGTTCGAGAACGATGGGCTCGGGTCGAGGGCGTGACCGCACAAAGGACAGAAGCATATGGTGCCTTCCAAACTGCCGACCATCTCGAACTGGCGTCGCCTGGAAATGCTGACGCAGAAAGAATGCGTGTGGGTGTAACGTTTCACGATGTACGGTCGGGGGGGGGGCCGACCGAGGGCGGAACCCCACTTGCCCGCCGTCTTGAGCCCAATGGCTACCGGAACATTTGAGCCCGGTGGTTGCAGTTGAGAGGCCGATTTTAAGGCCCCGCTTTGGGCCATCCCCAACAATCCTCGATCCTCCTCCCTTTTTGCCCCTCCCGCTGCCGAGCGCCCAAGCATCACGTCGCCAGGGATTTGCGTGGCCTGTCGTGTCTCCGACTGCCCCTGCCTTCGAAGTCGGAGACAGGCCCGTTGACACAACGGCAATCAGAACCGGTCCCAGGACCCTTCCTGGGGCCCATTCTGCTACGATTTCCGTGGCAAATAGTCGTGGCGACGAGAAGCCTGCAGGAGGCCCCAAAAAGGGAAAGAACGCCGGGGAGGCCGCCGTTGTCTGGACTGGCCCTACTCCGATGTTTGTCTCCAGCCGTAGTCCTGTTTGCCGCCGCTGGGAATATCAGTGGCTGGCCCTCTCCCTGGCCTATGCTTTTGCTTCCCAAGCCTTTCTTCCAAAGATGGCTTCAGGAGTCCCCGAGTGGGTCGAAGGCTGGCCCCAAGACCAAAAACCCTCCAAGACGGGCTAAGAAGCCCCAGAACGGTCCCGTGATGGCCCAGGAAGCTCTCCAGAAAGGCCAAGGAAGGCCCAAGAGGCAACCAAGATTGCTCCGACCAGCCGCCAGAGTGCGCCCAGAGGGCCCCGGCGATACCCAAAAGGGCCCCCAGACGCCATTCGGACACACAGACGGCTCAGACACTCCATAAGACACTCCAGAAGCCACTGCAAAGCTTGTCCCTCCCACACCCCCGACTCACCCCCGTCTCCTCCTACCTACTCCTTCTCCTTGGTCGCGTCGTGATTATCGTCGTCGTCGTCGTCGTCGTCGTCGGTCGTCGTCGTTCCTCCTCCCTCCTCTCCTCTTCCTCACTCCTCATCTATCCTCCTCCTCCTCCCTCCTCCTCCTCCTCCTCCTCCTCCTCCATGTCATCAACCCCATGATCCGCGCACCATTGTTCTGCAAATCAACGACGGGCAATGGCCAACCAGTCGTGTTTTGTCAAGAAATCAAGAGGTCGCCAGGAGGTTGCAGGGGTTGCGGCGTTTTCGTCGGCCCCTCCTTCGGCCTCGTCGCCAGGGCTGGCTCCTTCGCAGACCATTTCAATCCCCGCTACGCCCTGCGCAACCAGCTCAGACTGCGAGCTGCGTGTGCCCCTATGGAACATCAAATCACATGATAAAGAACTTTCGGAGCCTCCCGCAAGTTTCTCGGATCGGCGTCCAGCGCCGATCCGGACAACCATCGCGGACCTCCAAAAAATGAATCATTTATCATGTGTGTTCTTCAGATTAATATTATTATTCCTCCTCTTCTTCGTCTTCTTATTCCCATTCTTCTTCGCCTCTGGGCTCAACGTCTTATCGCTGGCGAGCCGCCTCACTCCATCTCCTGCGGGAGCAGCGGCGCCCCCTTCGGAGCTGGCCCCATGTCTTGAAACCCCCTCAGGGGCGGGGGCGGGGGCGGTGGAGCCGCTGACGCTGCCGGCTCTGCCAGCTCCAGCCCCGGCGGCGGCCGCGGCCCGCCCGGCGGCCGCAGCGCCGGAGGCTCCTCCTGCCGAGCGGACGGCGCCGCCCGCTCGGGCGCGGCAGTGGCAGAGCCGAGAGCGCCTTGGCTGGGCGGCCCCGCCTCGTGCGCGGCGCGCGGCAGCCCGCGGGGCGAGCACGCTGCCGCCTCGTGCGCGGTGGGCCGCCGGCACGCGTCGTGCGGCGTGGGGCCCTCGCGGAGCTCCTGGAGCCCGGTCGCGCGGAGCGCCCGCAGCTCGCCCTCGAACGCGCGCAGCTCGGCCTCAGCGGCCTGCTGCTGCAGCTGCGCCTCCTTTGCAAGGGCCCAGGGAGACACGACTAAGTAGACATACGTTCCAGGATGCTCCAGATCTCCCAATCGCCTAAGATGAGGCTCTTGTTGTCAATTCGACGCCTCTGGACCTCGCTCCTCCTTCTCCTCCTCCTCCTCCTCCTCCTCCTCCTCCTCCTCCTCCTCCTCCTCCTCCTCCTCTCCCTCACTCGTATCATTTTAGATACTCACACCCAGATCACCCACGCCCAACTCATACTCACTCACATCAATCCTCTTCCTCGCTAAGTCGCATCACACTCATACTCACTCATACTCGAAATCACTGATACTCAGACTCAGTCGCACTCAGACTCACAATCAGGCCTACTCGCACTCAGACTCACTCACACTCAGACTCGCACTCAGCCTCACTTACCTCCCAAATCACTCACAGTCAAGCTCATTCGCTCACTCACACTCACTCAGATCAACTCTCGCACTCATGCTCAGATTCATTCGCACTCACACTCACTCATACTTAGGCTCACTCAGACTCAGGCTCACTCACGCTCAGACTGTCTCAGACTCATACTCACTCATACTCAGACCCACCCTTCCTCATTCGGAGTCCGCCACACGACTTCCTCACTCAGGCTCACTCAGATTCAGAATCGCACGCGCACGCAGTCTGTGCGGATGTCACAAGCACAGCGCTGTTTTCAGCACTCAAACGGGGGGGGCGCCAGGGAAGTATTTCACGGGCCTGCCCGCGCCCAAATGTCTCAGGCGGTTTGCCTGTCTGCGTGCCCAACATCGTTTGCTTCCGGAGCAGATTGTGAGGATGTCTCAAGCCAGACGCTGGCTTCAGCACCCCCACGGGACAGCCACAAGGGGGGTATGTCACTGGCCTGTTCTCACGCAGTTTGTGGGAATCTCTCAAGCGCTTTGCCTGTTTGCGTGCCCAACATCATCTGCTTTCGGAGCAGATTGTGAAGATGTCTCAAGCGAAGCGCTGGCTTCAGCACCCCAAAGGGGGGCGCATGGGTGTATTTCACGGGCCCGTTCGCGCCCTGATCGTGAGGAGGTCTCAAGCTTTGCCTATGCGCATGCTCAACATTCTGTGATGTCAAAGCAGATTGTGAGGATGTCTCAGGCGAGGCGTTGGTTTGAGCACTCCCAGACAGGGGAGCCGCTGGGAAGGTATTTCACGGGCCCGTTCCCGCCCAGATTGCGGGGGATGTCTCAAGCGGTTTGCCTGTTTCGGCGCCCCCCGTTCGTCTGATGTCAGAGCAGGCTGTGAGGATGTCTCAGGCGAGGCGCTGGTTCGAGCACCCCGACAGGGGAGCCCCTGGCGGGTCTTTCAATGGCCCGCTCGCGCCCAGATTGTGGGGATGTCTCAAACGGTCTGCCTGTTTCGGCGCCCTCGACTCTTCGGCTGTCAGAGCAGATTGTGAGGATGTCTCAGGCGAGGCGCTGGTCACTCATACTCGAAATCCCACTGATACTCAGACTCTCGCACATTTACTCACACCGAGACGCGATCGTACTCAGACTCGCCCACCCTCAGTTCCACTCATATTCAGACTCAGTCGTAGACAGACTCACTCATAGTCAGACTCCGACTCATCAAACACATACTTTTTAGTCAGCGGCCGCGGGCGAGAGCGCCGGCGGCGAGTCAGGTGAAAGCGGGCTACGCAGAGAAGAATTGGCAAGGGAAACGCGGGAAAAACAAACAGAGCGACGGGCGAGGCGACAACTAAGCGCGGCCGAGGCCTCAGAAAGGGGGGGCTGCTGGGACAGAGCTGAGGGGAACTGCCGCGTGCACAGCTGCAAGTCAGTCGGAGGCGTCACGCGTCGGAAAGGCAACAACGGCCAGGGACAAATCCGATAGAGAAAGAGTGACACCGTACCTCAGACGTCGGCGTGGGCACCAGGGTGGCCGTGGCCAACGCATCAAACACATACGCAAACCCACTCACTCTCAGACTTACTCACACTCAGGCTCACTCGCACTCGGACTTGCTCATACTCATACTTACGTATCCTCAGACCCACTCGTACCCAGACTCTCTCATATCCAGACTCACTCACACCCGAACTTCATCAGACTTGGGCTCGCTCACGCTCAGACTCACTGGCATTCAGATACCTCGCGATCATTTTCACTCACACTCTGTTCTCTTTTGGTGGTCCAGTGCTCCCTCGCTGTTCCACTTGTGCTATCTGCGTCTCTCCTGAAAGATGCCCAGAGGAGGAGGAGAACGTCACTGAAGTCGTCGCCGTCGTCGTCTTCGTTGTCGCGCCCGTCGTCTACGCTGACTCGCCCTCACATGCAAATGCTCACAGGCCAAATTCCTTAGCGAGGCGTGACAATAATCTATTATGAATAAATGGGGATATCCGTGTCGAGTAGTTCCATGTTGTTTGGAGTGTCGTCTTGCCCATCATGTCCCACAGCTTCGCATATGTAATATGACATCGACGTTTCAGGATTCCGGTGTCTCTTTGGTCCCTCCTGATCCTCGGCCTCCCGCAGGCACACGCGGATCTCGTCCTCGTAGGCCTGCCCCAGCTTGTGCATCTCCCGCTGGATCCTGTGCGGGAGCGGCGCCCGCGCACCGTGCCCGTGGCTGCCCTCGTGCGCAGCACGCGGCCCTGTGACACGGAGACATGGGCCCGGCGCGATGCGTTCGCCGAAACCGCTTGCCCACATGCGCTGAACCAGCGGGCGGGTCGGGCGGGCGGGACAGTCAAGCTGGCGGGGGGGCTTGCCGGCACGCGAGCGTACTGGGCCCGAACGACGACCACCACGACGACGACGACGACGACGACGACGACGACGACGACGACGACGACGCAGCGTGTCAACCCAGACTTGTCGAACCTAATACGTGCTGCGTCTCAGGTCGGGCGTCTCAGGGCAACCGAGACCGTACCGTGCTTGGTCTCCCGTCGGGCGTCGCTCGAACGCGGTGCGGTGCAGAGTTCGTCGGCTCCAGAAGGCCGAACAAAAACTGGCCTGGCGAAGAACCCAACGATATGCAATTGGGAGTACCGCAGTTGTAAGAATCGTCTTCGGTGGAGCTCCCTGTCGGGCCACGAAACGTGTAAGTGGTGTGCCGAAATGGGGAGGGGCGGCGCCGCCACGCGGACGGCGCCAGTGGGACCTTCAGTGGAGCTCCCTATGGGGCCACGAAACGTGTGAGGGGTGTGCCGAAATGGGACGGCGCCGCCATGCGGACGGCGCCAGGGGGATCTTAGGTGGAGCTCCCTATGGGGCCACGAAGCGTGTGAGGGGTGTACCGAAATGGGGCGGCGCCGCCATGCGGACAAAAACTATGTACCGTACCATTCCTGGGTCGAGAATCGAGGACGCCTCGGGAGACGCCAACGCGGTGCGTGCATACAGGTCATGCGCGGATCCTGGCCACCACGGCCCCCGCGGCCACCTCTCTGGACGCCCGAAATGGGTAAGGAAAAAATGGGCAGGATGCCCAGCAGCAAATGCTGCCTCAAGACGACAGCGGCCGCTGTCGGGCAGGCGGCCCCCTGTCTGGAATGGACAACGCCCGCGGCAACGCCGAACCCGAGTCCTGCTCAAGATGAACAGAAAAGGCTGTCGGTCTTCGTACCCCTCTTCCCGTACCCGCTTCGATCATAGTGAGCATCGCCGCACCGACCCCAATCCCCAACGGCGTGGCCTGGGCCCCACTGGCCAGCTCACCCCCCTAGATGGGGATGTAGGCCGCTTCCTTCGGGCTCAGAAGGGTATTTCCCCAACTGGGGTGCTGAGATGGACTGTGGTCTGAATACAGATGGGGATCGGAGGGGGAGAAACGGTCGGCTGAACGATGCTGACCTGCCGAGCCTCGTGCAGCTCCGCCGGCTGGAGCACCGCCAGCCCGGCCCCCGGCAGCCCCGCTGGCAGCGGCCGCCCCGCGGCCGCGCCGCAGGGCGGCGGAGGCGGCTGCTCGTGCGGAGCCGGCGCTGCCGTCGGCATCGGGCAGGGCTGCGCACTCGCCCGGGTGGACCTTCCAGGAGCCTTCCTGGGCGCGCGGCGCAGCTGGGTGAGCCTTCACGGGAGCCTCTGTGGACCTCCGCGGCCCTGTCACAAACGTGAAGCCCACCGGGTTTCGTAGAGATTTCGACCACCCCTCTCCACCCTTTCGTCCAGATTTCGTCCAGAGTTCGTCCAGACCTCGACCACATCCGACGAGCCACGAAGTCCTTCAAGCCGCAAGGAATTCTGTGACCCTCTGAGGCTCCCACAAAGAACCACGCAAGCACAGGCCCGAGCCAGATGGCTACGAGCTTTCCTCGGCGGGCTCGTGTCGCGGCGGCCTGCGCGTTGGTGCCGGGCACCACGCGTGGGTCGCCCTGCCTCGAACAGTTCGCGGCTCTACGATTGTGCCGATCGCTCAATCTCACGCTGGGGTCGCCGCTGCGTCAACGCGGCCCGGACCTCGACGTAAGGCGATGGTAAATGTAAGTTAGCCGTCGCAAAACGCAGCACCGCATATCATAATCAACCTCTCAAAGTTCGAAACAACATGAAGAACGCCACCGCAACGCAGAGCCACCGCATACCTATATGGCGTCAGCCGTTGGCGACAGGCACAAGCAGGAGCGGTCAGGCGAAAGGCAAAACAGGAACGGTCAGCATCGAAACGATAAACCAGATCGGATCGGAACAATCACAGAATCGAACTGCGTCGGCGCGGAGTCGGGATTGAAGCGGACCCGTTGTGCCGGGATGCACAGCTACGCTGCGCAACCATCGGGACGCATCGGGTCGAAAGGATATCGAAATCGAACCGGACCGAGCCTCATGAGCTCGGCATCGAACCGGAGCGATCGAACCAAAATGGAGCCTGAAGGCTGACCTGAGGAAAGGGGCCTAGAGATACACAAATCAATAGAAACAAATCCCAAGATTCCCAATATTTTGAATATATATATATGTATATATATAGTTATATATATATAGATCATGGATGTTCGCCTTCCCCTCATCTTCCTTTTCTCCTGGGAATCGACGCTTTTTTGCGTCCGCGTGTGGCTTGCGTGTCCCGTGGTGCGCGGCCTGCCGATTGTCGCACTCGGTGCGACGGTGCTGGCCTGCTTGCCCGGGTCTGGCCCACCCCCCCCCACAGCGCGCCCCCCGAAGCACCGCGCACCAGAGATCACTCTGCCACTCTTCGCTCCTACGTGCAGCTGGTGGGTGGGCGGACGGCCCAGACCTCGCTCTCCTCCGTCGCCTCCTCCTCCCCCCTCCTCCTCCCCCCTCTCTCCTCCCCTCCTCCTCCTCCTCCTCCTCCTCCTCCTCCTCCTCCTCCTCCTCCTCCTCCTCCTCCTCCTCCTCCTCCTCCTCTTCCTCCTCCTCCTCCTCCTCCTCAGGAGGAGGCACTCAGAACAAAAAGCGTGTCACGAGCGGCGCTGGCGGCCTCGGCCTCCGCGAAGGCACCATCACAGCGTGCAGATGCGAATGTAGCACGCGACGCGTGTGTGCATACATCTACAGATCGCAGATCCCGGTTGTGCAGGTTATACGCCGTGTATATGTATATAGATGTTGTGCAACAGTTGTGGCACATTCTATGTGGTGCAAGCCAGGGCTGAACCTGAACGGTGTTTTTGGGTTTCGTTTTGTTGTCGTTTTCCTTCGTTTTGTCTTCAATCCGCCTTTAACGCAAAACGAAATCGAAACGAACACGGCCCACGAAATCGCAAAAACACCGTTTAGGTCCAGCCCTGGTGCAAGCTGTGCTGTGCAACCTCTGTGGTGCCATTACCTGTTGCTCGCTCGTAACTTGTGAACTCCACTGCTTGCGTAATCATCCCACCCAGCCACCCGCAGCTTGTTTTGCAAACGCCATGCGGAGGCGATTACGATGACTGCTTGGCACTAGCTGGCGCATCGCTGCGGCCGCGCCAGCGCGCGCAGGCTCGCGAGCACAGCGGCCAGCTAGTCTGGCGCGACCGACGCGGCCGCGGTGGCGCTGACCGCAGGGATTTCCCAGCGAGTCTCGCAGGCCGCGCTGACGCGTGGACGCTTCAGTGCAAGTTGGTGACTCGGGCGGCGCGGCATCATGGCGAAGTCGACAACGGTAGACACGAGAAATAGTGATAGTAGCGATGCTGCTGACGATAGTGGCGAAGACGACGGCAAGGCCGATGCCGGTGCCAATGGCGATGCTGGTGTCCACGCGTCGGTGATGCCCCCAAGCAAGCGCGCAAAAACGTCCGAATGATTCCGACATGGGCGTGCGAGAATCCCGCTTGGTCGCATGTGATGAACATGTTGACAAACGCATAGTTTTCTTGCGAATTCGCAGGATCACGTGCGCATGTTTTTCCTTTCGTGAAGCACCATGTTTCGTGGTGTTTTATATGGCCATTTTTTCTTGAAACTTGGGCATGCGCCCGCGACAACGCGCGCGCGCCGATTTGGTCTCGTCTTTCTTGCGCAAGGGATCCTTGAAAAATGGTGGTTTTGACAAACAAGTGCGCGCACACTGTATTATTTGACAGGGGTGAAGTGGGGACGATCAGGGTCCCTGGGATGGTATGCGTTCATATCTCAAACGCGCGATGGGACAGACCTGTGTGCACATCGTACTATCCATTGGAGGGGGACAGCGCCGGTTTTGAATACGGATAACCTATGTCGGAGACCCTATGCGGTGCGCGATCTATGTGGTACGACCGGCGTGGTGCAACTTATGTGCTGCAACCTCTGTTATGCAGTCTCTGTTATGCACTGTGCGGCGCAATGTACGTTGTGCGATCTATGTGGTGAACAATATATACGGTACAATTGGCATGGTGCAACTTCTGTGCTGCAACATCTATGCGGTGCAATAGACGTTGAGCAATCTACGTGGTGCAGAATCTATGTGGTGCGCAATCTAGGTGGCGCAATGGAGCGGTGCAACCTGTGCGGTGCAATCTGTGTTGTGCAACGTACGTGGTGCAATTGTGCAACAGACGTGGTGCAATCTATGTGATGCAGTCTGCGTGGTGCATCCGATGCGGTTCAAATGACTACCCTGCGCCGCGCCGGACAACCTCCCATGATCGTGCAAGCATCCCTCCGCCCGCAACTTGGCTAGCAAACGCCATGCGGAAGCGATTGCGATGGCTGTTTGGCACTAGCTGGCGCATCGCTGCGGCCGCGCTAGCGCGCACAAGCTCGCGCGCAGAGCGGCCAACAAGTCTGGCGCGACCGACGCGGCCGCGGTTGCGCTGACCGCCTGGGGATTCCCCGCGCGTTTCGCAGGCCGCGCTGACGCGTGGGCACTTCAAGGCGAGTCGGTGATCCGGGCGGTCGCGGTATGGCGGCCACGTCGACAAGGGCAGGCGCGACGATGATAGTAGCGATGCGAGTGACGATGATGGCAACGACGGCGGCAAAGCCACTGACGGCGCCGATGATGATCACACCGATGACGATGATGGTGTCCTCGCGTCGGTGATGCAGGTTTTGGAAGGATTTCGATATGCGCGCGTGGCCGAACCGCGCGCGAGTGGCCCGCCAATTATGGTTTGACAGGGGTCGTGCCCCCCCCCCTCAGCGCGCGCGCGAGGGCTTTCGAATGATTTCGACATGCACGCGCGAGAGGCCCGTTTAGTTGCATGTGATAGAAGTTCTGAAACATGGTGTGCGTACGAATTCGCGAGAGCGCGAACGCAGATGTGTTTTGACAACTCGTGTTGTAAAATTATGGCTTTGCTACCTGTTGTCGGGACACTCGATTAACACATTCCTACGAAACCGAAGGTTCTGGAGGGATCTCGGCATGCGCGCGCGCGACGACGCGCGCGTGTGAACTTCATCCCATTTGCGCGCGGGGCTTTGGCACAGATATGTTTTTTGATACATGAATGCGCGCGCATAGAACTGTTGCAAGGGATGACGGGGCCAATCGATACCGGCCTGGCTGGGATGGTAGGATCGGTAAATGGAAAACGACCGACAAGGCAACATCATATGTACATTGCAAAGCATAAAACCGAGCGGACAATCCCGCGGGCAGGGTGTATGCAATTGATGTTGCGCAATCTAGGCGGCGACGGGGCGGCGACGAGGCGGCGACGGGGGCAACATAGCTTACAGACTGGCAGACAGGCCCAGACGACGGGCGGCGACGAGGCGGCGACGGAGCGGCGACGCCGGCGATCTAGCCGCGAGACCGGCAGACAGGCCCAGACGACGGGCGGCGACGAGGCGGAGACGGGGCGGCGACGACGGCTACATAGCCGCCAGACCGGCAGACAGGCCCAGACGACGGGCGGCGACGAGGCGGAGACGGGGCGGCGACGGCGAAATCGCAGCCGCCAGACCAGCAGACAGGCCCAGACGACGGGTAGCGACGAGGCAGCGACGGGGCGGCGACGACGGCTACATAGCCGCCAGACTGGCAGACAGGCCCAGTTTCTTGTCCCGAAGTGCAAGCACTGTTCGGGGAATATATGAGTATGCCTACTTCTCATTTTCGCAGAAGTACTCGATGCACGATATGCGCGTGAACATGTTCATATCGTGTGCCTGTGTGTGCGCGTACGAGTTAATGCCGCATGATGCCACCATAACCAAAGGCATCAGTGGCTACACCCGAGCTGAGCAAAGGGCTGCGCGAGACACGCGCCTTCTTGATCGCGTGAGCCGCGTTTGGTCCGAAGCGCCACGGCCAGTGCGGGATCGCGTTGATGACGGAGTGTATCCTGGCGGCAGCTGGCGGGTCGCGGGCGTTCCAACCGGACTCCCCCCTCCAGATGATGAGGTGGGAGGAAGATGATGATGATTGATGATGATGATGATGATTATGATGATGATGATGATGATGATGATGGTGATGGTGATGGTGATGGTGATGGTGATGATGATGATGATGATGATGATGATGATGATGATGATGATGATGATGATGATGATGATGATGATGATGATGATGATGATGAGGGATGAGAGGGGAGCGGAAATAAGATACATGATAGAAGGGGGGGTAAATGTGAAGGAAGCGGAGAAACATATGATAAGGAGGAAGGAGGAGATGATGAGATGGGGGGGTCGGCTGGCTGGCTGTCCAAGCTGCACATGGCTAGATCACAATTTCAGTGTGCGAAGGCGGCCGCAGGGCACATGAGAATACTGAATTCCCGCTGGCGTTACAACAGTCGAGGGATCCCCCTTTCCGTGCGACCGAGGCGGAGACACCTCGATCGAAACTGGAAGCCGGCGCTTGCACCAAAGAGCAAAAGGGAACGACCATAAACGAGCAAGAACCCCTGACCGGAGAGGGGGGAGGGAACAAGGGAACCATGCGATGCATCCAGCACAATAGTCAACGCAAGAGCGCAGAACAAATGGAGAGCAAGAGAGAGAGAGAGAGAGAGAGAGTGACCCTGGGCCTTCTTGTGGCGGGCCTTTTTGGGCATTTTCTCGGGAGAACTCTGCAGTCGGCGCTCTTGAATGGCCTTCGACGGCGGGGGTTTTCGCAACGCTCCTGGGACCCCAAAAAACGGTTGTCACGAGTGCACTCATACGAACCAGAACTCCGCCCCAAATGGACGCCCAGGGGTTGACACTGGGGGGGGTACTTTTTGCTGTAGCCCGCAATGGCTGTCTAGCACCTGGGAAACTCAGCTGCTACTGCTAGGGGCTGCTTGCCTCGCGGATTTCGGCAGGGCCTTCAATTTGGCCAGACTGTCTGTCATCGGAGGGTTGCTGGCGAGAGTTGGGTTCTCTGAGAACGACGCAAGCACTGCCACTTCCACATAAACGCTGAGAGGCCCATGCTGAACTTTCGGCTGACATTTGACCGCCTCTTACCGGTTTTGAAGTGAGGCCTACGTGGTTGATCCTGGCTTCTTTCGGAAGGGACTGGGTAGTGAGCGCTACGACCCCCAGACAGCGCGAGAGCTGGCTGCACTTCAGGTTGCCTTCTGCGCTTCGTAGTCCTCTGAGTCCAGACCGCTGTCGCGGATGCGGCCGCTCACCGAGCCTTCCACCGCACCGCGAGGCTCGCTCGCCGTTTCGCGGCGGCTTCCAAAGCTTGCTTGCCCATTTCGAGGGCCCGCGCCGCCATCGCGTGAAAAAAACAAGACGGCGTCGGAGCGGTCAACGCGGCTGCGATTGAACCGCTGAAGAGCCACGGTCGGTGGATGATCCAACTGCCTGCTGAAACCTCACCCGAGCGAGGTTCCACGATCTCACGATGGATTGGGCATCTTTTGCGTTGGCAAACAATCTCCGCCTTCGAGAAACAATCGTCGACCGTGCTGCCTTGAAACCGCGTGGGTCGAGCGTGCTCGTGCGCACAGGGCATTGGTTTGTCGCGGTGGGCAATTGGGCCAGGGCACGGTGGCCGCGACTCCCTGCCTGACAGAGACTCGTACGAACACGCCGCCCTTGTTGGCCACCAGCGCTGGTTCCGGGGCAGACCCAAGTGCGCGGGGCAAGCGGAGGAACGGGGTCATGGGCGACTCCCACCCAGGCCACCTCCGAGCCCAAGAGAGGCCCGCATGCGTCAGGCTTCATCAAGACAGTGTCCCCAGAACAGAAACCTACGTTTCTAGAAGTGGTTCTTTATCTTCGAGGGAACATTCGGCGGCGCGTTTGAACCGGGCCCCCCCCCTTCCGAACATCCGGCGCCGTCGGACAGAACCAGGGGGACTCCCCTCCCCCCTCCCCCCCTCCCTCCCCGAACCCCACACCGCCCCCAGCACCAGCGCTGGCGCGCCGGCGCTGGCGCCGGCGGCGGCGGCGGCTGGCAGCGCCAACGGCGGCGACGCGGCGACAATGACCAGGACGAAGACGACGACGACAACATCTCTTGTAACCCTCTTTCCTCGGCCCTCAGCATCGGAATATTATTGACGGGCGCGGACCTCAAATGTAAGTATTCTTCGCGTGACGTCGCATGCCCCCCACGCTTTCCGTCGTCGTCGCCGTCGCCGTCGTCGTCGTCGTCGTCATCGTCGTCGTCGTCGCCGTCGTCGTCGTCGTCGTCGTTGTCGTCGTCGTCGTCGTTGTCGTTGTCGTCACCGCCGCCGCCGTTGTCGTCGTCGTCGTCGTCGTCGTCGCCGTCGTCGCCGCCGTCGCCGTCGTCGTCTTCGTCGTCGTCTTCGTCACCGTCGTCGTCGTCGTCGTCGTCACTGCCATCACCGTCGTCGTCATCGTCGTCGTCATCGTCAAGGTAAGGTAGTCGTCGTTGTCATGCTCGAAGTCGTCGTGGTCGCCGTCGTGGTTGTCGTCGTCGTCGTCGTCGACGTCGTGGCCGTCGTCGTCCTCGTCGTCGTCGTCTTCGTGGTCGTCGTTTTCGTGGTCGTCGCCGTCGTCGTCGTCGTCGTCGCCGTCGTCTTCGTCGTCGTCACCGTCGTCGTCGTCGTCGTCGTCCTCGCCGTCGTCGTTGACGTCGCCGTCGCCGTCGTCGCCGTCGTCGTCGCCGTCGTCGTCGCCGTCGTGCTCGTCAGCGTCGTCGTCGACGTCGCCGTCGTCGTCGTCTTCGCATGCACACGTCACCAAACCCATGGATACCGCCGGATCTGTGGCCTGGGGACCCTGGGCCTATGCGAGCGCAGGTCAGCGCCGGTGAAGGAGTGTCTTCTCATAGCGGCTCGCAGCTGCTCTCAGTATCACTCCTCCTGCACCCGCCCCCCTCCTTCACGAAGACTATGGTGCCAACGTTGACAAAACGGCTCCAGCTCTTTGCCTTGCATCGCTGACGTGCCTTCTCCTCTGACGGACGCAGCTGCAGCAGCGACGCTCACGCCCCGCGCTCAGAGGAGGCAAAGCCCTGACCAGCAGGGTCACGCCCAATCACTCCCCTCTTCCGCACCTCAGCTCGTCGCCTGCAACACTCAGCCACGTAGATCGTGCTGCGCTCGCCGCTGAAGTGACGGGAACGCTCCGCCACACTCCCCCGTTGACGCCATTGAGCGAAAACTTTGTCGAGACCACCGCGCCCCATCATCTTGCCGAGGCGATTCGACGTTCTGTTGCCCATGCCTTTAACGCAGCATGCCTACGTGCAGCACGCGAAAACAACTACATAAGATCCACCGCAGATCGCTTCCCAATGCCGCACGCTTCTCTCACGCTGACCGCGTCACCCCAATGATTCACCAAGAGTTCTACCCTACTCGGCCCCCCAATGATGACGCTGCCAGATGCGCTCTCAAACGCCATCTGGAGATGCCACACCTGCATCAGCGGCACGTCCCCACAGATCAACGATGCTACACGTGTGGCCTCTCTCTCTCTCTCTTTCTGGGCACTCTGAAACTTATATAACCGCAACGACTACCAACATGAATGAACACCCGCGTTGAGGGTTACCCACCGCGCTGCCAACTTAGTTAAAAGCCCCCTCCATCCAGTCGCATTCTCACGCGCGAGCCCAATCACATAATGTATGACCTATCGACACGAGACCACCACGCAATTCTCCTCACAATCTCGAGCCCAGTCAAACTCTATTCCCCAACCACGAACGCCCAAAGCGCAGGGTCTGTCCTAGACATCGCGTGAGCGCGGCACCAGCTGCACCACCCCCAGGCCCCAACTGGATGAGAACGACCAAACGATACTTGGAGGGATCGCTTGATCGAGTCCTCATCTGGGGCATGAAGGCGCCCACCTGCATCCACCGCGACAGCAGGAAGCTAGTGGTGTTGCCACCGAAGCCACCTGTGGGCTGGAGGATGGGGAGAGAGAGAGAGAGAGAAAGAGAGAAAGATAGAGAATTAACACAACATCACACGCTCGCCGCTTGGGCCCCACTGCCAGCCCAAACGGCGAACATACATCGGGCGTAGCCCCGCACGCATTCGAATGCCGTTAGGTTGTGCCATAGGTTGCGCCCTAGGCGGCTGATAATACAA